TCCCACTCCGCTCTGGCCGTGGTGGGACAGAACCAGAGCAGCCCCACACACGGTGGCGGCCCAGGACACCTGGGACTGGCCTTGCCTCCCTCCATGGCTGCTGGTGCCCTGGGGCCTTCCTTGTCTCCCTGCTGTCCTGGGGTGGGAGTGGGAGCAGGAGCAGCCCCTTGTTCTGGGAGGTTCAGGCACATGCAGAGGGGCTCTGACCTCTGCTCAGGCAGGCTTGGAGACCCAGGTGCCACCACCCAGGCTGTCCCATGTCTCTGTGCCTTGGGTGTGCAGCCCTGGGAACCCACCAGACCCCTCAGCACCAGCACCAGCCTCTCCCTCTGCTTCCCAGGGGGGCCGTGGTGAACCAGGAGGACCTGTACGATGCACTGGCCAACGGCCAGATCGCTGCAGCAGGCCTGGATGTCACCACGCCAGAGCCACTGCCCACCAACCACCCCCTGCTCTCCCTCAAGAATTGTGGTAAGTGCGAGGCTGGGCCCCCTCCCTGGGCACTGTGGGGTCCCCTGTGCCCACGGCTGGGGACCTGCTGGGGCTGTGATGAGGATTCCCTGTCCCCACCTGCCTGCTGGTGCAAACAAGTGCCAGGACAAGGAAGGACAGGTGTATGTAAGCAGGCTGTAGGTAGCCCCACTCCCCACGATGTGGGAAGCTGCTGGAGGAGAACACCTCATCAACATGATGCTAAACAAGCATGGGAGGTGTTTGAGTTCTCCAGAGAGCTGTTGAGACCAGCTTGTTTTTTAAAACCTTCCTGATGGATCTCCATTTGATGTCCTGAGGCATGTGGTGAAATTCCTGGAGTCTGATGCCAGCAGGTGCCTGAATGATGAATGACGTCACTGCTCATGCCCTGCCAAGCTTTGCTATTCCCTAAGCTCCCGGGTATATATTCTGCTAGGGGAGCTTCCCATGTGTGTACAGAGCTGGGTGCTTCTGCCTAGGGGGATTGTGGCCTGGGCAGCACTGGCTGGCTCACCGGGAGCTGGGGCCAGTGCCGCTGCACAGGAGCTCCAGGCCCTGAGGGGCTGGAATGTCCTGGTGTCCACGTCCCCAGTGGGTGTCAGCAAATCCCACAGCCCTCAGCTGCAGAGGCCAGCCCATGCCCAGGCTGTGGGATGCCCAGCTGTTCCTTTGTGGATAGTCTAGCTGTGTCCTCTGCTCAGGGGCAGTTTTCCATGGGCTGGGTTCTGGGTAGTAACAGGCATCAGGCAGGTAGGAAGGGGCTGGTCCCAGGTCCAGTGCATGTCTGCTCTGGAGGAGGTGGTGTGGGATTAGGAGGTGGTGGGATGAGGAGTTGGTGGGATGAGGAGGCAGCTGGCCTGCCTGCTCTGGGGCAGTGGTGTGGCCAAGCTGCCCCGCCCGGGGGACGACGCC